TAGGTGATGTGACTGCTGCAGAAAACCCCTGTGATGGGTGTTCTAAGAGGGTTATCATTCAGGGATGAAGTCATCACCCCACAATCACTGTGTTTTAACACGAACCACCTCTCAATTCCTGTTTACAAGCCCTTATCTCTCATTAGTCACTAAGCTTCTCAAACGGGCATTTATCTTGTTCACCAGCGTCTCCCAGCCCCTATACAATGCCTGACAGTAAGTGCTCAATGGGTCGGGCCCACACTAGAGTCTAGAGTTCGATTCCTGGTCAAGGGCATATACCTGGGTTGCAGGTTTGATCCTCGGCCCCAGTTGGGTTGCATGCAGGAGGCAACCAATGCATGTGTCTCTCTCACATGATTTTTTTTTTGGCTCTCCCCCACTTCCTCCGTCCCTTCCACTCTCTAGAAAACAATGGAAAAAATATCCTCGGGTGAAGATTAACAGCAAAAAAAGTGTTCAATAAACATTTGTTAAGTGACTAGCTATGACACATTCACGTTTGTCAAATAAATAAATGGCTCACAGACACTATCAAGCCGAAGCAGAGTCGGTGGCCGTTTTCTGCCACCCACCGGGGCCAGGTCATTGCTCTGCGGTCAGGGATGGGGTGTCTAGGGCCAGGGCTCCGATTCTGGGGCGCTGGAAGGCTCTTTGATCCCAGAAACACTAGTCCTGACTCCACACTCCGATGCGTCATGGTGTACGGCACAGAGGACATTGACGGGTCGGGGAGTCTCATGGCCCTTTTTGTTGTTGTTGTGAATCCTACCCGAGGTTATTTTTTCATTGGTTTTTAGAGGGCATAAGGGAGTAGAGAGGGGGGAAGAGAAACATCGATATGAGAGACACAGTGATCAGTTGCCTTCCGCACGCACCCCGATTTTGGGGGTGAGGATCAACCCTGCAACCAGGTACGTGCCCTTGACCGGGCATCAAACCCATGACCCTTTGGTGTGTGGGCTGGTGCTCTAATCATTTGGCCACACCAGCCAGTGCTCGTAGCGCTTTCACAAATAGCTAAAGGCCAAGTTGGGAACCTACTCAAAACCTAGCGATGGGGACAGGACTGTGATGCACAGAACGTGGCCATGTGACGGGTCCTGGGCGCCTCCCCACCATGCCCTTTGCCTGCCAGCGGAGCAGCTCCTCAGCAGAAACCTTGCTTTCTCCTTCCGAGGGTGGGGGGTGGGGTGGGGGGGAGCCTCCCTGCTCTGCTTGCTCAGAAGACAACGGCATCTGCGCCATCCTTGCAATGGGGTCAGGGCTGAGGGCTGACCCTCAGCGGGCTGGGCCACCCTGCCTTCCCCACTTTCACGAACCCCCAGGTCAGTGAGGACAATCCCGGCTCAGCCTGTAGGGGGGCTGCTTAAAGCGTCCAGACCGAGTCAGCAGGCGTGGGACCCAGTGGCCCTCCAAGCCCCCCGGCTTCTCTCCTGGCTCAGTGCCATCGACCCCCCTTTCTGGACAAGAGAGAAGAAAATATACTCACTGCTTCCCAGACGGAGGCTGAGCCAGCCGCGAGGCGGAGACCCGCACTTGGTGAGGACCGAGTTCATGCTTGAGTGCTGGTGGCACCTCGCCTGGCCCTCCAGTCAGGTGCCAGGCGCCCAGGTCTGTGTCCCTTTCTGCAGCGAAGGGCTTCTCCCAGCCTCACCCCAATCCTCGCTCCTCCGGCGGAATCCGTCTGCACAGGCCCGGGAGCCCTCAGCCCCAACCTGCTTCCCTGCGAGGCCGGCCCCCTGGGCGCTGTATGTTCTAACGTCTGGGCTTCCTGGCCGCGGTTTGCACGGCGTTCCCCTGCTGGTGGTTTTCTCCCCTTGGATTTTCCATCCATTCGTGCCCGGGAGCAGACTCCTCAGGCTGCTGGCCGCCTCGGGTCCCTCCCTTCCCGGAAAGCAGTGCCGGGACCCTGGTGTCTGCAGTCCCCGCAGCAGCCCCGCGAGGCGCCTTGGCGAGGAGGCAGGCCTGCAAGGTCGGCGGCTTCTCCCTGCCCCGCAGAGGTTCACCCGGGAGATCAAGTCAGTTCCAAAGTGTTAGAAAAACCCAAGCCAGTCTGCTGAGCACGGCGGAGGCATCAGTCACCATGGCAACCCTCAGCTTCCCAGCCCAACAGTGTCCGCCGGCTCAGCTGTTCGCTTACTCAGCGCCCGCACTTCCAGGGGAGCTGCTGCCCCGACTGGACTCCAAGTGCAGCTCCGTTCAGGCTGCGCCCGCCCAGCCCTCTGCCCAGCTCTTCCTGGCAAAACCTTGGAACTCTTGAGCTTAGCGAAGCCGTTTGTTCCGCCGGAGGCCTGAACACCACATGCTCCTCCTTCCCGGCACAGACGGCCCCATGTTTATCTCGGCCGCTGTGCAGGCTCAGCGTCAGCCCGTCAGCCCGCCTGGGGGGCAGGCCCGGCCTGGGAGGCGCGCGGGGCGCGGGGAGCGGAGCTGCTCGCGCCGTCCAGAGGCAGTGACAGCCCCAGACCCGGGCTTCTCTTTTCTTAATTTGAACTTTTCTGGGAGCAAAATTTTCCTTCTCCTCTAATACACTCCAAGACAGCCAGAAAGGAGGTGGCACCTCTCTCAGCTCACATACCTGGACCCAAACAGAAAAATTAACCTGCCACTGCGTCCAATACCGCCGGCAATGTGGCACTGCTGGGCTCCCTGCGTCGCCCTGACACCCACACCCAGCCCCTCCCAGTGTTTTATTTTACCCGCTGTTTCTGTCATCATCGCTCCTAATCACTGAAGTAACTTCCTGGAGCAAAATGGTCTATGTAAGGAATGACACCAAATCATGTCCTAAAAAATATTTAATGATACAAAAAGGATATAAGTGAAAAGAGCTGGACAGAACACCGCACATACAGCAGGACACCAATGTTGTAAAAAACCGAACACAATTTAGAAAATGTCAGACGAGGCAGCAGCATGGCACCAAGCGATTCTCCATGCGGTGGACTGTTCATCCAAGTTCAAAAACACTAAACAGGCTTAGGAAAAACTCCCAGGGGGTCCTTCACAGGAGCTCTAGCGGGACACGCGGCCAGAAGAACGGTTTTAAGGTGAACCTGCTGGAGGGGGGCCAGGTAAGAGGTTCTGATTCCAACACTGAGCTTCTGCTTCGTTCCGGAGTGACGGTGAACAATCCGATCTTGGTTTCTGCCTTCCAGACAGGCGCACGCAGTCCCTGCTCGCCTGAGGGCCGGGCCTCTGCACTGCGCGGGCAAGGACCCAGGGAAGAGCTTCCGTCCCATCTTAAAAGGGAACAGGCTCCAGTGAATGTCTCCCCACAACCTCTGGAGCCTGTGGTCCAGCCAGGATTTGAACTCAGAGCTCTAACATCACAGCCTGCTGTCTGACCCGCGACACTGCCACATCCAAAGCTAATAAGACCTCTAGCAACCCATTTTTAAAAGCTCAGGATTTGGCATAAAGGAGCCCTGGACCCACATCGCCCCGCCCCACACTGTCGGGCGGACAGCTGCGTGTCCGGCAGGTGATCCCACCTGTCAAGACCCAGTGGAGGAGGCAGGGCCTCCGCTCCACCTGGGGCCTGCCCACTCCTCTGTCCTCCCCCAGGAGCCACTTCCAGAGTCCGATCTCTCGGAAATCCTACTCCAAGGCACCTGGAGGGCGAGTCACTGTCCCTCCCCCCCTCTAATCTCGTTTCCGGGCTGGGGCCAGGGCGTACACTGACTCCTACCCCCAGGACTAACAGGGTCAGCAGGGAACACTGAGCTGTCTGTGTTTATGAAATAAAATGAACCCTAGAATAAGCAGGTACTACTTTGGAAATCACACACCGATGATTAAGAATAACTCAATGCAGACTCATTCCTACACACCCTGACCACAGCCGACTAGAAATAACAAGCCCACACCACCGACACTGGTAAGCAAATGGACATCTACAGCCGCCTGACCAGAGCCAGGGACCTAGAAGGTCTGGCCCTCTGACCATGGCTGACAACTCCCTCTAGTGGCCCCGTCTGCTTTCTTTACTGAGGGACCTGAAGGACCTTAAATGCCAGCAAGAGGGGCAGCTGAAGGCAGGCCTGGAGCAATGAAAAAGCAAATGCGACCTGCTGCTAGCGACCTAGTGACTGTCATCAAGATGCAGGGGCTGGGGAAGGAGGTAAGGTTGACGGTGGTGGTTTGTCTCACAACTATTTGCCAAGTCAAAATAGAAAAATGTGTACATGGTAAACTTAAATACATATAAGACGCAATGAAGTGAGACCTTAAATGGTCTCCAGAATCCTAAAATTCACCTGGAAGGGACAAGGCTCCTGTGAGAATTTGCATGCCTGAGGGTCTCTGAGATGCTTAAAGACAACAATAATCAGCAATTTAAAAGAATAGATGGTAAAACCTGCGAATCCTGGGGACCTCCTTCAACATGATCCGCCAGGAAGCGGACGTTCGTTCACAGCAAGTCTGAAACGTTGCCTCAGTACAGCATCCCGCTCTCCTCAGCACAGAAATGGTGCCCCAGACGGCTCCTCTCTGCCCCCCAAACCACCCACCTCAGGGTAAGGACTCGTGAGCACCAGGGAGACGAAGAGACTTCCACCTGGGAGAGTGGCACCATCACCAGCTCCCGCACTCAGGAGGGGGCGCTCAACAGCCCAGAGCTGTCCACATGTTCAAGTTTGGGTCGAGCTGCCAACTGCAGGAACAGGCCACTCAGAGCTGCCCTGCCAGGCCTCTCCCAGACCTCTGCCCAGGCTGTCAGTCTCGGAAGAGAAGCCAATCAGGGCAAATCTCTAACGAGGCCCCGAGAGGGTTCCCGGATTGGAGAGCAAGGGAAGGCTTCTCGAGTCCAAACCTCCATCTGTTAAGCCTTGATTTAAAGATGAAACACGACCTTTTAATACTTGTCCCACAGGAAGGGAAGAGAAGGTGGATAGGATCATGTGATCAGGGGATGGGACAGACCCACCAGCGGGTCCCCCACCCCGGCCGGCACCACAAGTGGGCGAGGGCCAGCCTGCCGCCCTCCTTGGTACATCTTTTGGGCCCTTGTCTCCCTATTTTTACCCAGGTTCCCACCAGATGCTGGAACTTTGTTCTGTTTCAATGGCGTGTCACCTTTTCCCTGCTGCTTTCTCCCTGTAGGAAATGAAACATCGTGGATGATGAACCACACAGCAGAGCAGGGCGAAATGAGGTCACGGAGCTTTAAGAAGGGACTTAAGTGGACTACGGCTTCCACGAGCTGTGGAGGGAATGCTGCTCGCCAGGGCGCAGTCGCAGCGCAGAGCCCGTCAGTCCGCTGACGTCAGGCTTCCTCCCTCGTTAGCCACGTCAGCGAGCCTTTCGATAGAACCGAGCTTTTGGATGTGGTCTCGTTCTAGATGTTTCCTCCGCTTCTCTTGCTCCAATTTTCCCCGTTGCTCCAGGAAGTTTAATATTATAATCTGTTGTGACGTAAGGAATCGTCCCCTCGAGCCCATGCTGAAAGGAAACAGAAAACATGCAAACTCCCAACCCGCCCAGTCTTCCTCCCCCAGAAGACAGCGTGGAGTCTGAGCGAGCCCCGCCCCATCCTGAGCCCCCTCCCCAAAGGCCCGGAAGCCCCGTGACGGCCTCCCTGTCTGTCTAGTCAACTCCACAAGCACATCGAACAGGAGTGGTAAGTGCGGGCGTTTCCATCTCCAACAAGCAGGTAAGAAAGGGAGGAACAGGCCACCCACAGGCCCGGCAGCTGGGCTTGGGGGCTACACGGATGCTCTTGGCCACCATGACCTTCCCAGGGCTGCACCTGAAGATGGCCTCAGCCTCAGGAAAGGGAATGGCTCTCCCACGGGCTCCCGTGGCACTGGTGGCTCATGGCCTTGCCTGTCCCCTGGCTTCCTTCAGCCCCTACAACCAAGTGTCGGTCTGCCCAACAATAGCCTGCCCATGACTCTAGCCCAGCTTCAGGTTCTCTCTCTACCACAGACACAGCCAGCTCCCTCCCAGGCTGTCCCGGAGCCACGCTCACCTGGCTCTTGAGGACGCACTGTGGAATGGAAATGGCTCCGACCAGCAGACAATTCACATTTCTTAGCTCTTCCGGGGGCACAGGCGTGAGGATGTGGTAAAGCCGCTTTTCCATGTCGATCCCCCGACAGATCCCTGGAAAGCCCAGAGCACACGCAGATCACCCTCTGCAAGGCGCCAGGCCTCCCACCACCCCGCTGCAGAGCAGCTTCTAAAACAGAGTTTCAACTTCAACTGGGTTTTGCTTTGAAATATGACGTGGTGGGAGACGGAGTGTGGGAATGCCGGAAGCCATGGGAGCTTCTCCCTGCTCGGCTGTGAGGCACCGAGTGGTCCTCAGGCCGAAGTTCTAGCCTGCACCTGCACCTGCACCTGCACCTGTGCCAGTGCGCCCGGGACAGTCTAGTGGGGCAAAGGTGACTCAGCCTTTCCCTTTACCCAGTCCTTCTCTGTGGTCTGCACAAAGTGACCCGTCTCTATGAAGACGCTTTAGGAAGTACAGCGCTGTATCAATCAGAAATGTGTAATTGCTGCCGAAACCGGTTTGGCTCAGTGGATAGAGCGTCGGCCTGCGGACTGGAGGGTCCCAGAAATATATTTAAAAAAAAAAAAAAAAAGAAATGTGTAATTGCTAATGACTTTGCTAATTTTGGGTCAACCTTCCAGAAACATCCACTGATGTTTATTGACCTCATAAGCCATGAGACGAACACCTGCTGTGGGCTCCTGGAGGAGATGGGCCCAGAGCTGCGGGAGCTGCGAGGCCCAGCCAGACCCGGCCCTGTGCTATGGACACGGCAGGATGTCAGGACGTGACCGCGTCGCTTGCGCCCAGGTCACTCCCGAGTGGGGGGTCCACTGTGGGAGTGAGGGTGCTCACACGGGCACGGGAGGACAGGACCTGGAGGAGCCTGACTCGCTTCAGGAACAAGCCGCCTGACCTGCGAGAGGGCGGAGAGCGAGGCAAGGACCCAGGGTCGGGCCCAAACACCAGCGTGAATCTTTGAAGGACAGTGAAGGACCTACGGGGACAGGAGGTGGTATGGGGTGGGCAGGAGGGGGTCCCGGGAGAACATCAGGCGTGTGGACCCATCAGGACTTCAGTTTTGGACCCAAGTCCTGGACGCCGTGAGATATCCAAGCAGAGAGCGCACGGGTAACACGGGCTTGGAACTATGGGAGGGCAGCAGGAAGAGGGACTGAGCCCCAGCAGTGGGTGAGCGGCCTCGAGAAAACACGTCAGGTGAGAAGCATCCCCAGGCCTCAGGGACCCGGGACTTAGAGGGGCCAGCGGAGGAGCAGGAAGAGCTGCCTCTTGCCTGCCCGAGGCCCGAGGCCCACAGTGTGTGGAGACAAAGCAGCTCTTTGACCATCGAGTCGAGACAGCCCCGAGGTCAGGCCGGCCATTACCGCTGGAGAAGTGGGTCAAGCTCCGTAGGTTTATAGACACGTTCGCCCTCACTCACCAAAGCCCAAACAATCGCAGATTGGAGTCTGCGTAAGCAGGACGGGCCCCTCTGTATATCCGCCAACATCATCCAGGATCTTGCAAAGGCCGACCCAGCTGGCGTTCACAGCATACAGGATGTGGGTAGGGGCGACATCAGAGTGAATGACCCGGAGGGCGACAGCATGGAAAGGGACCTGGAAAACAAACGGGCACCTCCCTCTGTTAATTCTTTTTTTCTTTATTAAATTTTTTGGTGACATTGGTTAAAGAACTTAGATAGGTTCCAAGTGCACACTTCCACGATAATCCGTACATTGCATTACGTGTTCACCACCCGACTCCAATCTTCTTTTGTCACTACAGGTATGACCTCCTTTACCCTTTACTACCCCCACCTCCCTCTATTAATTCTGAGAAATTACTTTTAGTTTGTGTCAGCGGACTAGGCAGCTTTCTAAAGTTATGTCTGCCAAACTCCCGCTGACGAGGAAACACCAACCAGCGTTTGCTGTTTCACTGCTTTAATACAGAGCCTAAGAACTTGACACAAAGCATTGTGCACCACCCACACTTGCTAGAAATCTAAACGAATGCCTGGAACTCTCTTGTCTAAAGAGACACACAGACACAAGTCTGTAGGGGTCCTATAGGGGTTACAGTCGAGGGAGAATGTGAAGACCCCATCACGGAGGTACTAATGTAAGAAAGCCAAAATCCACACAGTGAGAAAAGGCCGCCATTCATTCCCTGATGCAACATATTGAATTAAGAAAAATGCATCATACTCCTGGAGCACAAGATAAATAACTACCTTGAATGTAACTTTCTGGGTAATTTCAAATTCTTAAAGCAGAAAAGTACTTTGTTACATAGATTATTTAAATTTCAAAACAAATGTGAAATTTAAAAAAGGCAATTTAGGTAAGTTCCAACTCCATTTATACAGCTTCCCTACATGAGCAAAACTCCAGCAAACAAACCACCTCCGACTCTCAGGTGGGGACGAGGGGAGGCCGAGGGCCAATCTCGCCCGCAGGCCAAGGGGCACATCCCTGCCGTGCGGGTCCGCCGCGCCTGCCTGCGAGGCCTCAGCCCTGTCCCCTCCACCCGACTGTGCCCAGGTCGCTGAGCTGGAAACAAGAGCAACGAGCATTGCCCTCCCAGTGCCATGCAGTCACCAGGCCATTCCTGGTAATGAACTTAGCACAGTGCCCGGCACACAGCAAGGGCTCAACACTGGACAGGGCATACAGCGGAGGGTGAACGCTCTGGCCTCTGGAGTCAGGCTGCAGAGCCTGTAGGCCAGCCCAAACCTTGACTGTGCCCCTCTGGGTCAGCTGACTCAATGTCCCTGGCCTCAGTCCTATCATCTGTAAAATGGGGATTATAACAGAGCCACTGTGAGTAAAGGAGGAAACACAGGCTTAGAACACAGCAGAGTAAGCACTTAGGAAATGCTTCCTGTCACTATTTTATTCTCCCATCACCCAGAATTCTAGTATTAAGGTGGTTTCTTCCCCAAATAATTCTGGATCCCAAGATGCACATGCTCCAGTGCTAGAATCTACTGCTGACAATAACCTGCAAGACTTTAAGAGTGCCCCCTGGGGGCCAGGCACCACTGTGCACTCCCGTGGACTCCGCACAACCACCCCACCAGGTCGGGTACTGCCTCCGCTCTACCAACAACAGACTGAGTCACACAGCTCGGATGTGGGAGCGCAGGAACCAGACTGCCTGGGGTCAACCCAGGGCCACCTCTGGGGTCAGGCAGGACATTCCCACTGGCCCGGAAGCAGAGCTGTGCCCTGGACAGCACAGCCTGATGCCAGCTCTGCCACTGCCGCTGGATTCCTCAAACAGGAGTCACTGATCCCACCCCGTGGGCTGTTCTGAGGGTTACGAGAGGAG